ATTTTGTTAATTTAAGGTTCACGTGCATCATCCTCTAGACATACCATAAATGTAAGTCTCACGGTTGTGTTGGGTAAGCTTGGCTAGTACCCTTATTTCGTTTAACTACTTCATATGTGTTGAGTTTGAAAGTGTGCTGGGCCATGTTCATTTTGCTTACCACGATGCATTCCAGTGACACCAACAATCGTAATCGGTTCGTCACAGCGCTATCAAAGAATCCATGATTGCATGATAGCCATGTTCTGGAGTTACTCGTTAATCATTTCCATAACCTGGGCTCACTAGTCTGCCTGCTTATTTACCAAACCTGATCACACCTTATTAACTGCTTGCGTTATACAAACGCGTAACTATTATGCAAGCTAACTTAAGTGGTTACTAACCAATTGTTGTACACAAATTCAATCACAAATTGTGTTTGACCACCCTAGGATTTGTCTAATAGTTCGCAACCCTGTTAGTTCAGCTGCGTTTTCTTACCCGGTAAGCTGTATGAATCACACTTTCGACTTCTGGAAGTATCATATATTCTTTTGAGTTCCAAAGTTATTATCGTATGTAGCACTATTGTCAGTGTGTAATAACACCCACGATGGCATAGTGTAACAGTCGACCAGTATTTTGTTTCAGGATAGTGAACTTGCTCATTTGTTGGTTAGTTCTATATCGGCCTGGATAGCTTCAGTTTGTGGGTGAGTTCAAGTGAATTATGGAACTGGTCGATTTGTTCTCAGAGTACACTTTCATTGATTGAGTACTCCTCGATATGGCGGACTAAAATGAAGAATTAACAACCTCACTTGAGTGGTTTATGTTTTTATCTGGATTTGGTGTTCTTTGCTTGTTAAGCTGCAGAAGTTCCACAAGAAGTGACTTACTAGCTATCAGTTTATGCAGTTTATGCTTTTTCGATGTGACAAGATAGTCTGTATTGTTTTGTTGTAAAGCAGGTAACATTTCTTCACAAAAGCCCGTTTTCTTCGTATTCACGATTTGTTGACTCTCCTAAAGTAATGTCCTTTTGGGTTTACGTCGTTTCCAATTAGGTGCATCTGCGTTAATTACTTGGTCCAATTTTATGCGTTTCACGTCACATCACTACACACAACCCATTACGATCTGGCTTTTCTTTTCATAAAGTTTTATATGGATAATCCCACCAGACATTTAATCTGAAATGCGCTCACATTTATTCGATGTGTTTAGTAAAGGTCTTATCAAACCTCGCCTATAACTGCTGTGTTTTTCTAGTTTAACTCTATCATCGTTTTTGTCGTCCACTTGAGTTCTGTTTTGTTTTCCTTATCTCTCAGACCACAGTCATCGTCAAATCGACTGCTTTTCACTTTGGTGTTAGTCCATGCGTCGGCATGTTGAACCTTACCCATGAGTAGTGTGATTAAGACTGCAGTTTTTCGTGACAATAGCACATAAAGTATTGCGCAAACATTTAAAAATTGTACATAGAAGAGTCTAAAGTCATATGGACACAAGTTTGTCACTGATTATAACGCAGACATATCCGCGAGTGTTTCCAGGTAGTGGTATGTATTGCCATTTCATGGTTAGGGACACCACATGGTATCACACAGAAGAATTGTCCGTGATCACGTCATTGTCTGGTCTTTTAAAAGATTTCTTCCAAAAGCCAGTTGTCAATGAACAGTGTGCTACGGTACAGCAAACGCACCACAGGCATTCAAAGCACATGACCGAACAAACTTAGGCTGTGCATTTTCATCTCGTCGGCTATTTGCATTAATGCTAGGTTTTACGGAGTAACCGTTCACTGATTATTGAATCGTCGCTTTTATTATGCGTCCTGTCATTTGCCTTGAATCCCAATCTGAGAAGCAAAAGGCGTGAGCACCATCTTTTATTTCATACAAGTCAAAACCTGGACCACAGGGGCTCTGAATGTACATGACAATTACCCTGCAAGTCATCAAGACACGGAGCCAGTCGGACGGAACAGTCATATGTGTTAGTCGTGACACTACAATGAGTCACGTTATGAGGGCGTCAGCAAACAAACTAGAAGGAACGGTTGATAGAATTGTAACCTACAGGCGTCCGATCGGATAGCCGCAATCTGATTGGCTAATTAGAATAATGCAGTTTCATCCACCCAACATTGAGTCTGCCGGACCGAAATAATCCACCTTCACTTCAAACAGCTGACGTTCCATTTGTAGGTGTGCACAACTTTGCAGATGGTGATTTCCCCGAAAGTAGGTCGGTCGGTGTTGAGCTATTCGTCTTACTTGTTTGATTAGGAAATGCTCCTGCTAACGCTGACTGGCGTACTGGTCATTGGTTAACATACCGGTTTCAGATTAACAGTGGTGGCCAAACGTCTAAGAACTCTATTTAGCTTCTGATGGAATCGGACAAATCTTCCGGTCGTAGATAAGTACAGTGAGTCATGTAATTATCGGGAGGTCGATAATCAGATAGTCCAACCCAACGCAGATGAAACTGTAAATGTTCTGTCGATTATGAGATTGATAAAGTAGTGAACTGATTCCGAAATACGGTGGATTTGTCACTTTAGGAAACCACGTTCCCGTCACCTTACATTCCCGACCGTAGATCAAGTACCGTTTTCAGTGCTCTCTTGTTCGCATGAGTTTACCAAACAACTTTATCGACCGTTCATTTTGTGGTTCTTGTGTTTTTTTATTTCGGCCTGTATCTTATGGTAACGTTCTAAAAAAATATAACATCATCTTCAAGTTTCGACGCTTAATAATCTTCTAGGATCACTTAGGGAATATCCATAATATTTAATGTTCCAACGGAATCCATGGGATCTTTCCGTTCAGTGACGTCGTTTTTCGTTTTCATGTGGTCTCGCTCCTAAATCCATGTAATAACACACTACTGAAGTGTGTGAGTAGCCGGATGTTTAATTCAAGATAATCTTTGTTCCGCTGCATGTTTGATCATTCCTTTATGGATTTAGAAATTTGGAAGGCTGATGCTGCCATGTCAGGCATCAGTAAACTGTATTTGTGGATCAACCATTAAACAGCCTTCTCTCTGATTTAAATTCTTATCCTGCCATTTGATGTGATTGCCTAATTAGATGACTGGCCTTGAGAGGGTTTTCCACGTATCTACTATTTAAACAAGACATATTGAGTTTAGCGTTTTAAACACCATCCCTATTCCAAGGAAGCCATACACAGTTAGCTATCAGCTCTTCTCGAGGCAATACACTGTTTTCAACGGCATTAAGCTACTCGAGACTGATCGACCAGTAGGCTTAGCATATTGTAAAATCCGAAAGATGTTTATATCCATTTTTATTAGCTTACCATTTCACTTAGTTGATTGCTGCTCTAACTGTGCTGAGGTCTTTTGTTTGTCCGTTAGTTTTTACGCGCTTCTGACCTCACTGAGTCAGTAGTGTTTATGGGTTTTTGTGAATGAATAGAACAGTTCGTCTTAATGATAAAGTTATAACAAGATGCCGATGGTATGCGAAAAACTTGCCTCAGTGTCGACCCTATTCTAAGTCTGTGTTTCACACTCCGTAACATATTAAGAGTGTGTCTTTCCGTTTTCTCCGACCCCTGTTCCCTTATAACACGTAGCAAATTATTGTTAGTTGAGGATTATGGACAAAGAGATCTATGGAACGTTCCACGTCATCGATGTCATCCGCATTAATATGGTGTATAAGTCTATGGGTCACTCTTGTTATATAGATTCTGCCCTTTGATTTTGTAGGCTTGCAAGTTGTATGAATCTTAAACCTAGCCTTCCAAAGACCAATCATTTGTCTAGTCTTCAGATGTGAATTAATGACCTGCGGATCGTCATCTTACTTTGCGACTCGCTTGCGTTGGTTTTATCCATGTGCGGAGCTGTTCAATTTCGAATTATCTTCTATAGTACTAATTATCGAATGAAGCTAGTTATCGTGAGAAAGTCTTTAGACATTGTTCATAGTTTTGTTACCTTACTTTAACTTATCCATGTTGCTAGTTAACAGCTTTGTCTGATTAGCACTGCGGTTCAAATTGTTGATATACATGAATGGCGTTCAAACAAAGGTGGATTAGGCCGCTAATTAACCTCGATTATGAAAAGCGCACTTCCAATGTTCAAAGTGGTAGTGTTAAATCATTTAACTTCATTAGAGAACAGCTAAATTGCCACGCACGATCGCTTTGGTGCTAGTGTAAATCCGAGTTTTTGTAGTTGTACAATTGGAGTTGTAATCCGATACACTGGAATCACACTGGAATCCGATCCTCTAATCTCCGCACCCAACGGTCTCCTTAGTGAGCTTTCAGTTAGGTTTTAACTCAGCCTCACCAGCAACAGGATACCAGCGTTTGGCACTGAAGGTCGACTGCCGTACAACTGTGAGTATAACACTAGTTTCTAGACAGACAGACTTGTTCAATGAAATTTACATATCGAAACTCAAAAACACAGAATCAAGATGTCTGCATCTTACACATAAACAACTACACATGACAATATACCTTTATCAACATGATAAATTTGCGATTTCCATTCTTCCCACTTGAATGACTCTTACCTTATAATCAATACAGTAAAAATGCATTGAAATAGTAACTATCCTTATAACACTGAATTTAGTGACTACCTATCACTTTATATCTAGCCACTGACTGGATGAATCACGTGGCAATTAATCGAGGAGACGACCACGACCTACTCCTATTGGTTTATCAACGTTTCCAATAGTCCTATGAATTCATTAGAAGTAAAAGGGGTTTTAGCGAACATTCTGCTACCATTAGTACATATTAATAATACTTACTAGTCTCAAGTAGTATTTGTACTTATTAGTAATACACTTTCTATGCTCAGCAGTGACGTTAGTAGATTCCAGCGTGAACTGGTTGAGAAATCCTGCCGGGGCAGGAGATCCCCTGGATTATTTGGTGGATTCCATGTGAGACAGTGGGACGGGTGAGTAACCGAGTCCAAATGTGAAATTTCCGAGCTCTTGACGAGACTTCGTAGCTCAGCTGGTGGAGCGCTGCTTGTCGCGTTGAGGCATGGTGTTTCTTTCGCTGGTTCGAATGCAGCCGAAGTCCCGACTTTTCACTGCTGGGTCTCATCTAAAATCCTAAATCTGCCAAACTATTTATTAGTAAGAACATTCTGCTGTCGGTTACTCCTCACCGGACCAATTACATGACATTTTATGTCGTCATGGTTGTCAAGCCAGCAAAAGCAAGGGCAATTAGTCACATAATTACCTCACATGGTTGTGAATTGGATGAGAATTGGGTGATTAAATTGACCTCCAGTGTTAACGGAGGGCCATGGTAATCGTAGGGCCTGGACGACTTTCTTCTGACCGTAAAAGTGTGGATTGC